TGTTGAATAATAGTGAGACTGTGTCGACAGGTTTGCTATACATTAACGATCGGAAAAATCATACTTAAAAACTCATTGCTTAAGAAACTAACGATAAGATGTTCTCAAAGATCGGAGAAAATATTATATTTTATTAGAAATCATTATTATGTATAACTTAAGAGAATTTTAGAGAAATAACATTTCTTGATGTGAAACAATATGATAGCTTTGTAAGTGACCGGATATGACCGGAACATTGAATACTTGCTTACTTAACGCTAATGACATAAATTAATGTTTTATATTAACACTCATTTATTTTATTTAACTTTTCATATGAATGANATTTTTCCGATCGTTAATGTATAGCAAACCTGTCGACACAGTCTCACTATTATTCAACATTGAGTATATGTATTGTAATAATGATTGCTAACCGCATAGATATTAAATAAAATGTTTCCACACTATAACATCATCACATCATTTCCTCATTAAACCACAACGACTGACATCACGTTTCGAGACTCACCTCTCAATCTATTTTTCATTCATTGACTATTTCTTTTGATAAACCATTTTATTTTATTTTTATTTTTTTATATTTTTGACGTTTAACCAAAAGAAGAACTTTTGGAAACTTCATTAGATATCAAATTCATATGTCGTTAAATAAATGCTTTTTTACGGACGTTCTCGTGTTTATCTCACATTTTTATGCCTTTCGTAAACGTTATTTTACAAACAGTATTACTCTTTAATAGTTGATTGAGTTTTTAGATTTGTTAACCATTTCTGCGATACAAATGTGTTTTTATATTAAATTTATAATCAATTGTTTAGAGATTCGGGTTTTTTGTATTCACTGAAAATTCCTTTACAACTTTAAGTGTTACAAAAACTATTCATTTAAATGTGGTTTTCTTTATGTTATGCTCTTTAACCCAGAAGTTCTTTGCATGAAATACAAGTCTTTACTGTAATTGAAACTATTGTTAAATTACTTATTTATAAATGAATGTCATTAATGGCTTACAGACACCGATGACATAACGGCCGATAATTTTATGTGCCGTTTGGACAATGGAGTGATTGTTTGCAAATTAGCCAAATTAATACAAGAGAGATGTGATGCCACACAACATGATTTCAATGGAAAACTAAGCATTGCCTTAGAAGAGGTTAGAGAACTTTATGCTTTATTTAATTCTCTAATGAAGTCTTGCCTCAAGCCAGAGAGAGAGAGAGAGAAATAATATTTGGCACACCTTGTGATCCAATTCAGACGTGAGTTTGGTTGGAGTAGTGGTCGATGTGTTTGTACTGTTGGAGGAGTCGCTGCTATTGAGAGAGGAAACAGATGCCATCCGGGCATTGGAGGGACCGGCAGCTGTCACTTCTCCTCTGTAGCTAATATTGCATTCGTTGGACAGCGAGGACACAGACCAGCCATCGATGGTCTCGTTTTCCAATTCATCGATTTCTTGTTCAAACTGTACTAAACCGGGCGCCGGACTGAACGAGTGTTTAGTGCACGCGATTCGTGCGATTTCTAATAGACATAGCACTACATTGCGTGGGTTGACGTGAGAGACCAGGTCTTCGCTGTTGAGCATTGTGTTTGCATAGCATTTAACACATGACATACACGTGATATGTTTGATGTGAGAGATTTTGGGAGAGAAATCAATTTAGAGAAGATGTGATTAAAAGTGATTTACAAAATGTGAGAAGCGTTGGTACCTCTCGAAGAGTACGGCATCCCTGACCCCAAACTTTCGACACCATTTGATGAAATTGGAGACATTGTCGCGCGCGTAAAACGATTGCGATTTTGCATTTTCCCAGCATTTAGTCGTCGGAGCCGATGAGTGTCTTATCAAACCCTTATAGTTAACTCCATTTATGGGAATTTCCTGAGGGAAAGGTATACGAGTGATACCGAAACAAAAGCCTTGATTAGCCAAGTGTTCACTTGTTCTGGCAGGGGATGAGTCCAACACAACAACAAATGCCACTCAAATACACATAACTTATATTATTGTTTATACGGTATATAATAATATGTGTTTATATTTTTCAGTCTCTCTCTCTCTCTCTCTCTCCCTCTCTGGCTTGAGGCAAGACTTCATTAGAGAATTAAATAAAGCATAAAGTTCTCTAACCTCTTCTAAAGCAATGCTTAGTTTTCCATTGAAATCATGTTGTGTGGCATCACATCTCTCTTGTATTAATTTGGCTAATTTGCAAACAATCACTCCATTGTCCAAACGGCACATAAAATTATCGGCCGTTATGTCATTGCAATGCTTAGTTTTCCATTGAAATCATGTTGTGTGGCATCACATCTCTCTTGTATTAATTTGGCTAATTTGCAAACAATCACTCCATTGTCCAAACGGCACATAAAATTATCGGCCGTTATGTCATCGGTGTCTGTAAGCCATTAATGACATTCATTTATAAATAAGTAATTTAACAATAGTTTCAATTACAGTAAAGACTTGTATTTCATGCAAAGAACTTCTGGGTTAAAGAGCATAACATAAAGAAAACCACATTTAAATGAATAGTTTTTGTAACACTTAAAGTTGTAAAGGAATTTTCAGTGAATACAAAAAACCCGAATCTCTAAACAATTGATTATAAATTTAATATAAAAACACATTTGTATCGCAGAAATGGTTAACAAATCTAAAAACTCAATCAACTATTAAAGAGTAATACTGTTTGTAAAATAACGTTTACGAAAGGCATAAAAATGTGAGATAAACACGAGAACGTCCGTAAAAAAGCATTTATTTAACGACATATGAATTTGATATCTAATGAAGTTTCAAAAAGTTCTTCTTTTGGTTAAACGTCAAAAATATAAAAAAATAAAAATAAAATAAAATGGTTTATCAAAAGAAATAGTCAATGAATGAAAAATAGATTGAGAGGTGAGTCTCGAAACGTGATGTCAGTCGTTGTGGTTTAATGAGGAAATGATGTGATGATGTTATACTGTGGAAACATTTTATTTAATATCTATGCGGTTAGCAATCATTATTACAATACATATACTCAAACAACTTATTATCACTCTGACACAGCTGTCCAAACGATATGTAATTGCTAGCCTTTTTAGTATGAATTTTTGAGTAACGAATTCTTTGATTGCTATTCTACAAGAGTTTCTAGCCTCTTTTATAATATTTTTATTAGAAATCATTATTATGTATAACTTATAAGAATTTTAGAGAATTATATGATAGCTTTGTAAGTGACCGGATATGACCGGAACATTGAATACTTGCTTACTTAACGCTAATGACATAAATTAATGTTTTATATTAACACTCATTTATTTTATTTAACTTTTCATATGAATGACAGCTACAAAAAGTAATATGAATTACACTAACAATACAATACAATAATCGGTTTTATACAAAACATGACACTCAGTAATACATAATAGGATTTAAATCTTGTTTCTTTTGTTAACTTCTTATTAATAACAGCAATACCTTATGTTATGTAATGTCGGATACTTTTATGTTAACGATCTATTGAATAACAGCCCACACTGTCATGTCTTAAAATGTTTATTAGTCTAATTAAAGTCAACCAATTGTTAGAATTTAGTATTTTATGATTGCATTAATAGAAATTGAGATTTCATTAAAGTGTTGAAAAACAAAACAAATGTGTAAAATGTCCAAAGAATGTACAAAATATG